GGATGATACAAGTTTATTTTCTTCTGACAAGGATTTAAAGTCTCTGGTGGAGAAGAATAACCAGGAGCTTTCTAAACTCTCAAAGTGGTTCAAAACGAACAAATTATCTTTGAATGTAAAGAAAACTAAATGCATTATCTTTTGTGCCAGAAACAAGTCCCTAAACCAATATAGAAATAATCTAAACATAATTATCGACGGTCAGGAAATTGACACGAACATTTAGACTGGAAGGTTCATATTGACAAGGTTTCTATGAAAATGGCCAAATCTATTGGTTTAATTAATAAAATTAAATCGTATGTCTCTGTTTCGACCAGAAGAACCCTTTACTGTTCACTTGTTCTTCCTTATATTCAATACTGTAATATTGTATGGGCCAACTGTTATCACACTTACCTCGACAGGATCCTCAAATTACAAAAGCGAGCTGTTCGAATTATTGCTGGAGCTGGCTTCAGGGATCATACTAAACCACTATTTTCTTTGTTTAAATTATTAAATGTATACCAACTTAACCAATATCAAATTGGATGTTTCATGTTCAAATGCCTTAATCAATCCTTTTCCTTACCATCTCAGTTTCTCCAATATTTTTCTTATAATAAAGATGTTCATCACTATAATACTCGAAACGTTGCTAAGATTCATATAAAGAAGGTGCGAACTACCACTAGAAAGCTAACTCTTAAGCATAGTGGCTCAATTCTCTGGAATTCCCTCAATAAATCTATTACTCAGTCTCATTCACTCAGTTCCTTTCAATTCAAACTCAGAAATTTCCTCATGGAGGCAAATAGCTAAAGGTTAATTTAACTGAGTTATATATATATTGTAATATTCTGAATTTGTTTCTTAATCTCAATCTTTTGCTCTATTCATCTATCTCGTAACAATGCCAAAACCGCGACCTCTAACTATTTATAACATCTATATGCCACCATGGTGTTTAGCGTTTTACAAGCTCCTTGGGGTTTTTTTGCTGAGCACCATCCAAATATATGTATATACTTTTTGTAAATAATTATATATTTGGTGAATAAACTATTATGTTATGTTATGTTATGCTGTGACAAAAGTCATGATTTCGCTTTTAATATCGGTTTTGGATCGAAAGCTTTGCAGTAATAAATTTACGTGGTGTTTCCACAACTGACAAAACTATTACAAGTATACTTTGTTGTTGCAATTGTTTTTACGCAATTTTGTGAAACGTTTAAAAAATTAAAGATCCGAGGAATATTTTTCCAGGTTTGAAAACAATGTATAGTTTCCAGTCCATTCCTCTTGATTGTCTATGGTAATACAGATAAGAGGATGTTTAAAACAGAGACGCTAGCCGCGTTTTTAGCATGCTTTGAGGCATTTTGAAGTAGTATATCAAATCCGACTATGAGGACTTTACCTGGATATCATGCAGTTCAGTCCCAGACTCAAATTTACAAATGACTAGACTCCTACGCAGCTTGTTCGCTGGTCCGAAGTTTTAGTGGGGAGAAAACCTCGGACCCGCGAACAGGCTGCGTAGGACTAACAAATGACGGAATCCGGAGGGTTTAAACTGCAGGTTGCAGGTGTGCAGGTGCAGGTGTGCGCAGGTTGCAGGTGTGATATTCTAGTACAAGATCAAAACTTGACATTCATGAAAAAGTGTGAAGCATGCGTAAAATTTTATCTTAGCTAAGTTTGAATTCCCTTTTATAATTGATTTTGTCACTCTTTGGAAGAAACGTCCGCCATATTTAATTCTTATCTCAAAAACACCTGATATACAATATTATCAATAGTTTTCCCCATACCGCCAAACATGTGATCACAGAGTAGGTACTATATGTACCTACTATGTACCTACTATGTACCTACTATGTACCTACTGTATATCAGTGGTACCTACTCTGTGATCACATGTTTTGGCGGTATGGGGAAAACTATTGATAATATGGGATATTAGGTGTTTTTGAGCTAAGAATTAAATATGGCGGACGTTTCTCGCAAAGAGTGACAAAATCAATTATAAAAAAGAATTCAAACTTAGCTAAGCTTTTGTAGATCCGTAAAAGGTATGGGTAATTTTGCCTCTAAGTCGAACATGCAACCATACAATCATCTTCGAGAAAAACAATCCTTTGTAGAACTGCAATAATTCGTCACGAACCATGTCGAGACGAAACAAACGTCGCCAAAATGCAATTTTAAGAGTGAACGGAGCTGCAGAATTTTAGACTTTACACCTTCCGCTTTCTATGAATTCCTTGGATTCTTGAAAATAATTTCTTGGTTTTATAGTTCCTTAATGAGTCCACAAATATTTGTTGTCATTTTCAGTCATTTTAGATTACAAACGGGAAATTGACAGCCCCAAAGGGTATTGGGCTGTCAATTTCCCGTTTGTAATCTAAAATGACTGAAAATTGCAAACTTCGCAAGGCTATATTATCCGCATTTTACAACATTTCGCAACGAAACTTTGGAACATTACTAATTTTGTGATGCTCTTTCAAGCTGTGATGAAATTTTTGTCTAGATCAAAATTTAGTCTATTACGCAAATGGTCCATTAAACGACAAAGCATGAACCATATTGGTAAGTGGTAAACAAGTTAAAATTATAGTTAAATCAACCGGTGGTACGTGTAGTCCTAAAACTTCAATTTTTGAATCTCCAAAACAGAATTTCGTGCATTTTAAGTGATGGTACAAAATGTATAGCTTTATCATATTAGGACAATTGTAAACACAATCACTACAGGGCTCATTAAAGGACGGATCATTAGATTTTTGAGGGGGGAGGGGGGTTGGGCGAACACCATAAAACAATCAGAGCACAACCTGTGAAAAAATATCGTGTACAACAAAACTTTTAAAAAATCGTGCAAATCTTTTTGAACAATTTTAAAGTTAAATATACATATGATATATGCCACTGTTGATGAGATAAGTCAAATAAATTATTAATTTACAATCCATGCACTCAGAACTGGTCCGATATCAGAACTTGGTCAAAAGAAAATTATATACGAGGTTAAATCCAGATAAATTTAAGGAGATTAATTAAGTGAACTGAGGCAATGTGATCGAATGAACTGAGGCAATGTGACAGAAAAGAGCTTATGAACGCTGGAATCGACATATCATGGTTATAAAGAAAATTTGGTCAGTAACTCGGTGTGAAAATTCAGTGAGACGCAGTTTATTCAAATAGAACTCTGCCGGACAAGCGCTTTTACTATTCTGGTGGGCAAAGGAATACATTGGCGCAAGTCCCGATGAAGTTATTATAACAAGATCGATAGGCTAAACACGAAATCAACAAGCGTCAGTAACAAAGAGTTCTCAACGCGGCTGCAAGAATGATATGCCTTACACCTAGAACTGCTTATATTACTTCAGTTCTAATGCATCTTCATTTGTTAGAATATTCCTTGACAGATTAAGCGCTATATATATTTAAATAGTCAAATTATTATTATTAATATTGTCTTCGTGTCGGGAAACAAGTGCGCCTGACTCTTCCACAGTCCCTTGTTATATTTGAGTTAGTACGGGAGATATGCCCGTTCGCGGGTTAGGCGTTGACAGACACGTTCTATTCCCATCCCATCCTCGTTCCCAGGGCTTCTCGGCTGCCTGCGTTGCCGTAAGCCCTGGGACAAGCCAAAGCAGAAGTGATTTGATTGGTCGTTGGAAATAGAGTGAAGTATGAAAAGTTTATTCATCAAGTGGATGTTTATATTCGGCAATATGTTCCCATCCCTGACGTCACGGAAATCAAAGGCGTGCACAGAGGACTAGGGACTAGTCTGATTCCCATCATCCAACGCAAGCGACTGGGAACGAGTCAGCAAGTGTGCCATGAAATCATCAGTGCATGAAATCTAAGAACTCGTGATGTAAAAGAAACGTGAAACAAGTCAAACCAGTTTGGGAAATGAGCATTGTGCAATTCTAGCTAAATATACCCTAAACCGGTTTGGCCTGTTTTTAATACGGCAGATGGCCCAAGTGCAGAGTTCGCGATTGATTTGACTAGATGGTCTTCTGTGTTTCTCGTGTTCTCAGAATCTCAGTTTTGCCTCGTCATTCTCCTAGTGTCATCTGTATGTTAAATTAACATATTTTGTGAGCGTGTTCATTTTAGCGTTGGAAGGAAATCGAATACTGAACGTTCATACGACCGGCGGGATTGTAGTGTAGAAGAATTTATTCTTTGGTCTTCTTTGGTCACGGACATATCGACAAGTAGGTAAAAACCTAGTAAACATTTCTATCCATAAATAGTTTTTATTATAATACACTCGTTGAAAATAGTGATGAAAGAATGAAGCATTTCTGCCTTTCTATCAGAAGTATAAAATCTGATTCGCATGACAGAGTTAATTTAAAAGGGGAAATCCCTTGCATATATAATTTCGAGATTTAATTACGTAATAGTGCAATGCAATCATTTGCAACTTATGGTCCAGTTCATTCTGTTTTCTCTCCTGCGTACTTGTTAATGATATGGCTCTGCGTATTTTTCATTATTTCAGGCCCAGTAATATTTCAACTATTAATAGTCAGAAGAACTTATTATTAATAGTCAACCTGCACCAAAGCACGAGAACGAACGAATAGCTTAATGAACTGAGTGACAGAGTGAGCGACTGTACCGTTCACATTCGCTCAACTCGATGCTTCTATTGGCTGAGACAAGTTAATTATATTCGTTTCTTTATAGTTGAGATATCGTAGCGTTAAAAATCTTTGTGATTAGCTTTATATATAAAAAATTACTACACCCTCTGTAGGTACAGGAAACAGATGTACAGCTACTACAGCAAAATATTAATGAAACTTTAATGTGAAATAAATCAAAATAATGTGAACGTTGCTATACCATAGCCTTACTATTGCCTGTAACGCATAGCCGAACTGGAGAACTGCTTGACTAGCATTTCTTTACTTTTCAAAAGACCCCACTCCCAGCTTGTATTGCTGTAATTTACACTTAATGCTGAGTGACCGCTTTTCAAAAATATTTCTCTTATGAAGCAATTTGCATGAGTATGTATATAAACAAAATACAATTTCGTATGCGTATGCATTTGTGATTAATTGAAGTACTTAGTTGGCTATGGTAAATTTGGGCTTCTGGTTGTGAGGCAAAACTGTGGCTTGGAAGCGTAGTCCACGTATCGTAACAAACAGGAGAAATATTAAAATGTTGTTTTCGCCATGGCATTTATTGTTTGAAACTGTCTTAAGGCGGATTTCCAGTCCTCGCGCAAAGCTCCTCGCAGCTCGCTGCGAGTGATGCAGGAGCACTTTCATCCAATCACAATGCTAAACAGTTAATTTTAATTAGATGCAAGCACTCGCAGCGGGCTGCGAGGAGCTTCGTGCGAGGACTGGAAAACCGCCTTTAGGGATCGGAGAACGATAACATGCGCTGGCTGAAACACACGATGTGGACTGTCTAGCCATATAGAATTCGTTTTCAGTGCATGCTTTGAGAGTTTGCATGCCTTTCAAACTTAGCGTTATAAGGTACTCGTTAGCTTGAGTAAAGATGACATTTTAATTTATGATATGTTCAATAGTTGTTTAGCACATTGAAATGACCAAAGGCAGCAGCATTCCTGCAATATTTGGCAGGCACACATACGAATCATTTGAATTCATTCGAATGCGAAACATTGTTAATTAAGCATGTTCAATTCGTAGCTGTTTATATGCATGACCATAGTCATAGACGATCAACGACTAATAGTATAATAATCATGATATGCATTGACGAATGTCATAGACGTTAGCCTAAAAGGTAACAGAAAAACTCGCAAGAAATTTGTGTTTGAGCTTGACAAAGCGTAACAAGACATGCCCGATTTGGCAGTAGGTTGCATCGTATGGGTTGTAACGTATCTCCCATAGATCGGCTCATACTAACTTGTCATTCGTTCACTCGTTTGTTCACTTTGGTTTTAAATATGCAAACCAATCAGTTTTCGGGATTTCAATATACTTGCATATTCATTCGCGTCGTTTTTCGGTGCAGGTTAACTATTATCTCAGTTCTAATGCATCTTCAATGGTTAGAATATTCCTCCATACATTAAGGGCTATATTTGAATTATCAAATTAATATTATTAATTAATAATATAATTGTCTTCGTGTCGGGATACAGTGCGCCATGAAATCTAAGAATTACTCGTGATGCAAAAGAAACGCGAAACAAGTCAAACCAGTTTGGGAAATGAGCATGTGCATGCAATTCTAGCTAAATATGGCATGTTTGCAAAACATGGGCTGCACCTTGGACTGGACTGGACTGGACTTGCAAACTCTGGACTGGACTTGTAAAACATGGACCTGTAAAACATGGACTTGTAAAACATGGACTTGTAAAACATGGACTTGTAAAACATGGGCTTGTAAAACATGGACTTGTAAAACATGGACTTGTAAAACATGGACTGGTAAAACATGGACTTGTAAAACATGGACTTGTAAAACATGGACTTGTAAAACATGGACTTGTAAAACATGATGGACCTGTAAAACATGGACTTGTAAAACATGATGGACCTGTAAAACATGATGGACCTGTAAAACATGATGGACCTGTAAAACATGGACCTGTAAAACATGGACTTGTAAAACATGGACCTGTAAAACATGGACTTGTAAAACATGATGGACCTGTAAAACATGGACCTGTAAAACATAGACTTGTAAAACATGGACCTGTAAAACATGGACCTGTAAAACATGGACTTGTAAAACATGGACCTGTAAAACATGGACTTGTAAAACATGGACCTGTAAAACATGGACTGGTAAAACATGGACTTGTAAAACATGGACTTGTAAAACATGATGGACCTGTAAAACATGATGGACTTGTAAAACATGGACCTGTAAAACATGGACTTGTAAAACATGGACTTGTAAAACATGGACCTGTAAAACATGGACTTGTAAAACATGGACCTGTAAAACATGGACCTGTAAAACATGGACCTGTAAAACATAGACTTGTAAAACATGGACCTGTAAAACATGGACTTGTAAAACATGGACCTGTAAAACATAGACTTGTAAAACATGGACCTGTAAAACATGGACCTGTAAAACATGGACTTCTAAAACATGCACTTGTAAAACATGCACTTGTAAACATGCACTTGATCTTCGAACGAATTTATTATCGAGTGATATGTTTCTCTATATGATAATACGTATGATAATAGGCCCCCAAGCGTCGTCGAAGCAAGACGTGTGTTGAGAGCTCTACTGAAATGCTTCCGAAATTAAGAAATAACCCTGAATCTTTGACTATTGATTCAACAAAAGAGTTATGGGTGAAAGAACTTCTACCATTTATATACAAAAAGACGGCTTAGATCAGAGATCGAGGATCTAAAATCCAACATAACATCGGTCGCAGGGAAGTGCAACGAAATTGAAAGCTCTCAAAAGTACCTATCGAACGAATATGATAACTTCAAACGCTCGAGCTCACTGCAGTCCGCAAAGGACGAAGAAAGAAGTCACATATATAAAGAGACTAGCATTGAAAGCCCTGAAGGTATAGAGTAAAGCGTAACAAGAATGAATTGTATAACAGCAACGTGGCTTTGGATGATGTTCAACAGTATTTACGCCGTGACTGCATCGAAATTACAGATATACCACCCCCGCTATTAGATAGTCCCAAACAACTAGCAGCCCAAGTAGGCGAAATGATTGGACTAAATGTAACCGAAGATCATATCTCAACAGCCATCGCCTTCCACCAACGAAGAAGGTGAAGAATCGTAGTATTGTAAAGTTTTTTTCATAGGGATATGAAAGAGGCGTTTTACAAAAGTTGAAATAAATTGATTGGGAAAAAGTCCAAAGATGTACCGCTAATTGCATCTGAATATGGTAAAAATATTCATGATCTGAAAATATCTATATTAATGATCATTAACACTTATCAGGAAAAAATTGCTAAGTGGAGACATTTGTGGACGGTGAATGGCAAGATCTTGTTAAGACAGACGGACAGCTCAAAGTTGACTTCTCAACAAATGACCAATTTGAACAGTTTTTGCAAGGTTCTTAAACTTTAAAGTGAATCAAAACAGTTATCTAAAGCCTGCCCACACGATAGAAACTTGCTGAACTAAAGGCGGATTTCCATTCAGTGGAAAAAGTCGCGCGATCGACTTTTTGCGACCACTTTCTTTTGAAATACAAGCAAAAAGCGCAACGGATTAGGTTGACTACACGCATTTGAAAATAAAGTGATCGCAAAAAGTCGATCGCGCGACTTTTTCCACCGAATGGAAATCCGCCTTAACCGCCTCGCGTGGTGGCTAGCTCATCTATGTATTTTTACCGCACACGTTGGGAAAACTACTCAGCAACAACATAATTGACAAAATCGTTTGCAGTTTCCTCCATTTTGTTCAAAGTCACATGAAGAAACTATGGTTTCTCATTACTATGGTTTCTCATTGGCTAATAGATTCAAGCAGCTCAGCACTAAGCTCACCACATCTGCAGACGCTGAGACTTTTTCTTCGCGAGGTGAAAAATATTAAACACGATAGATATTTTCCTCAAGGCCTCGAGAGGTCAAATCCTCACGAAACCTATCCGCACACAAGAGAAACTTGCTGAGCTAGCTGCCAAGCGAGTCGATTAGCTCAGCCATGGGCGTACCGGGCGGGGGGCGGCAGCCCCCCCCCCCCCCTGGGCAGTCGGGCAATATTCGCTGAACAGTCGGGCAATTTTGGTTTATTATAAAAATAAATGGGACAAATTTTGTGGTCAATTTTGTGATGTTTCGAAAATTTTTGTTAGGTTCCGAAATATTTTTGTATGTCCGGAAAATTTTTTTGACCCCTAAAATGGTACACTGACCGAAATTTTTTGGCGACGGGGGGGGGACATAATTTATGTCCTATGTAGCCAGTGCCAGTACTGACGACCGTTCAAGTACGACGAAAACGTAAAGCAATCGCATCAACTAAACTCAGAAACACAACAAATTCATTCTATTAACAAGTTAGTCCTTTATATATATATTTTGTACATATACTGCTAATATTTTTTGAATTATTTCGTTATTAAATATTATAACAGTTAAATATTCCGTATAAATATTCAAAATATATAGACCATTCGGAGATTGGGTCGCCTGTGAATACACCACAGTGTTTTACCGCACAAAAGGCTCAATGAATTCGACGATATTTGTAAAGAAATAAAAGTTTATACATTGTTCAAGTAATTATCGTTTTCTTTGAGTAATTATGTTTGCATGCGCGTTGAAATACGTGGGTATATAGCGATACCAATACAATAGAGAAACAGATAAAAATACACGAATTATTCTGCTGTGCTCGCTTGCCCCAGCCCCCCACCTATTTTGCCCCTGGAATTGGACAGACAATAACGAAATAGATTGGACTGCGTCAACATAATTTCACATCGAAAATATTTAACCCTTTTTTGCATACCTATGTTAAATAGTTTTGAACTAAAACAAAACAAAACAAAACAAAACAAAACAAAACTCATAACAAAACATTTCATTGTCCTTAGACTTAGTTCTTAACAAATATTACTGCATGGTATCCATTATTAAATATTCAATCGTATCCGTGTAAAAGGAAAGCTTGGCTGTACGGAATTGACAACACAGTCAATCAAGATACATGTTATAATCTGGGAACTCGATGATGAATTTCAGTCAATGATTCTCAAGGCCAAGAGATCGAATTTTTACGATTGAATTATTATTGTAACTGTTTAAAATTTGATCGTTACGTTATTTTTTAATTTTGGAGTTGGTAGAAAAACGGCTTACGATAAATATCCCTCCGTGCATGTACACTATATATATAGTAGTTAATAATGGTTGTCACTAAAGCCTGGCGCACACGATGCGATTTTAGTTGGCCGATAAAAATCGTTTGACATACTGATATACATCGGTATACACCGCACACGATTAGGGAAAGTACATTTATTATGCCGAGGGGGGGATGAAGATGTTAGGGGGGGGGGGCACCGAAATATTTTCTGGCATTAAAGGGGGGGCTCTGAAAGTTCTTGATATACTGAAGGGGGGGGCTCTAAACTTTTCAAAGTTTTGACCCCAGCAAATTCAAGTTAAGATTTTGACATTTTCAGGTAAAATTTGCGTAATAAAGTAATTATTTTTGTGAAATGATAACCATTTTTGTAAAATACAGTCAATTTACATGCAATTTGTTTGCGAAATTTGCTTTAGAAAACGCCAGAAATTCAGTCCTAGAGCTTCAAAAATGTAAAATTTTCTGGGGGAGGACCCCCAGACCCCCCTTTTCTCCCAAAACTTAGTATAAGAGTGCCAATCAATCACAAAAAGCTTTATTATAATTATTACACGTATAATCCTCTGACATCCCCCCCCACCCCAAACGTCAGATGCTTTGCTACGTCCCTGATGGTTGTATTCGAAACCGATTTCAGTTCTAAGATATCCTTAGTCTGCTCTTCTAAATGGATACATGAAATCACCTATAGCTTATTTTAAATTTTTTGGCGCTAGGTTTGTGAAGTAATTTACCCGCCAAAAAGTAGCAGTTCCAAAAACAAAAAAGCATACGATTTGTAAGAATGATATGTTCTATGTTTATGGGATATTCTGTATGGTTCCAGCACATTACCCTGATCCAGGAAATCCTGGCCATTACATGAACGTGTTCAAGACTCCGACTACGCTGAATGATGGACAACAACAACTTGTTGATAATTTCGCACCTAGAGCCAATTTAAAATGTTTTTTAAAGACGGTGTCATTTCATCTGGCGCTAGTGAGGTGAAAGAAGCAGCAGATCGGTTTTGTTGAGGAGAAGCACATGCTTGAGTATATCAGACATCTTGAGGAACTGCAAATTGTATCTATGATAAGAGAGAATTCCGGATTGTACTCCTTCGATTCCGGAGGGGGGCATCGAAAATTACCAATAACCTCAACAGGGGCCCTGTAAAAATATGAGCTTTTTTCAAGACATCTTCATCCCCCCTTCCTCGGTGTAATAAATGTACTTTCCCTTACGAAAAAAATACGCTCCCTGACTGTAGCCGCCATATTGCCAAATAAATACAAGCACGTGGTCACAGCATGAAATCTGATTAGTTACACTTAAAGTTCCACCGATAAAAATAGTATAATATCAAAACGTTTTGATGTTGTCCGATTAAAATCGAGCAACAAAAATCGGTTAAAAATGACACCGCACACACAACGATTTTGTTAGTTTTGTAAAGTTATCGTACTGAAAAATGGCATCCGATTCTTACATTTCGTAAAGTAGTAATATAAAATAGTTTTTTGCAACAGCTTTCAGCGAGCTTGGTAGCGTTTCCGCACAGAGAAGAGATACACAGAGAGGAAACTCGCGGCAAGTTATGTCACGCAGTTATATTAAGTCTATTAACTATATAAAATTATATTAATTCACTATTTTATTAAATTTTGACACTGCAGAGGAAAAAAACTATACATATTATAAGTATTCATGTTTTTTTTTTCTAATTGTTTACAGATAATTAAGCCTTTATTGGTTAGGGTTAGAGAAGGGTTTGGCGTTGGGGTCTGTTTATTCTAAATAAATCAAACTCGGCGTACTGTTCCAGTACGAATAGCCACTTCGTTTTGTCTTTGTTTGTCTGGCCGTACTTCAAGAGACATTGGAACCAGAGTATATCCATTCCTGTGTTTTATATGTCGATACTAGATATTGATAACTTTTTCATTTTAATTTAGGAATATTCTTTGGTCTTCTTTGTTCACGGACATATCGACAAGTAGGTAAAAACCTAGTAAACATTTATATCGATAAATACGTTTTTATTGTAATACACTCACTGAAAATAGTGATGGAATAATGACGCATTTACGCCTTTCTGTCAGAAGTACGGAATATTCGCATGAACACAGGATGAACACAGACAAACTGAAAGGCTATAGCGATATATACTTTAAATAGAGACAAAGGCTGGCTATATATAGTTTTAAACGTAATAATAGCATAGCTACCTCGAAATCGTTTGTTTCGCGTCAATTCGCGACGGACGATTAATGACTAATTTGGGGAAAGTACATTTATTACGCGGGGGAGGGGGGAGGGGGGATGAAGATGTCGTGAAAACATTTATCCATTTATCATCCAGTACAAAAATTTATCCGGACAAAATTCTGTCGAGTGCCGTGTAAACGGGGTCTAAACAACTAAAATATTAAAATAAGTATACCCAACTTGCTGCAAGCTTTAAAATCTAAAGTACTTTGTAGATCATACATATTTTATTCTTGCTTTGCAATATGGTGGTTGCCCACATCATTGATCATTTGCAAGTCAAAAAATGCGTGGCAAATGGCCATCGCCCACATCGTTGGTCTTGACGACCAACATGGCCGTCGCCCACATCATTGCAAGTCAAGAATACGCGGAAGATGATTTATTCTATCATTTTCATTTCAGAGTTTCGTATAAATGGCTGGCCAACAAATTTCAGACGTTGATCGAACAAAAATCGACGTGAAGTTCCTCTGTTCCAAATGTGAGCTGTTGCTGAATGAACCGATGCAAACCCACTGTGGACATTTGATGTGTAAAAGCTGTGTTCAACTTATTTTGAGGTAATTTGGCCGTCGTTGTATGTTTAAAATGATGATTCGTATTCATGGCGGAAATTGGTGCACGAATTCGCATACAACAAACCGTACAATTGCCGTGTGAGCAAATATAAGCGGACGAATTTACGTATATATATATATATGGTTCTGGACTCGTCCATGCCTTACAATGGTATTTCGGTTGTAAATCTGATTGGCTCTTGGAAAACAATAGTTACCATTAACTATATTAATGAGTTAATTGGTTTGTTTATGTACATTAAATTATATTGATGATTTTTGGTAATTTTAAAGTTGTCAATTTTACTCTGTTGTGATTGGTTGCTTTTAATAGGTATTTGACAGCCTGTGGATGAGGCGGAAAGAAGGTTTTATATGTAAATTGTGTCAGGCTTTATTTTAAAGCCGTGTTACTCAGGTGAACAACCGGGTAACCCGCCGATACTGATGCCAGCACATGGCGATACTGATGCCAGCAGAAAGAGGTGGGATCTCGCATACGAGGACGTAATTACAACCCATTCGGTCATCAGGTAACTCGGTTTCTTATCACCAGATTGTTCCTTTGTCGCTGCAGTACCAGCTCCATAATCATATAAACGGGGCCCTGATAAACGGCTTGACACAGAACGTAGTGAAGATCTCAAATTATGTTGAGCTTTTCTATGTATAAAATAAACCATGTATGCAAGAATGAATTGTTTCTCTTGCAGGACTTGGTGTCACAATCAAGTTTGTGATCTATGTAAGACTAATTTGATTCACCTGTGGTCTATATAAGACTAAACGGACTAATTTTGTATATTTCAGCCATGCCAATCCAGTGTGTCCAAAAGATGGAGCCTCGCTTAACGAGAAGGAAGTAAGTTAACTTTCTTTTCCCTTTAAATTGATATTGATCGGAGTGAAACTTGTATAGGATCTAAATGACCGCTTTGACAATATTCAAACATTTGACGATATTCATCAGATCAAATAGCCAATTAATGCCTTCGCACAACACTTAGCAGTGCCATCCAGTCACGATCCAGTGATCAGAATGTTCCATTCTCTTTACATTATTTTAAAAATCTCACTGTTCTCCATGCCATCCAGTGATGATTCACTGATCAGATTGTTTCATTGTCTTTTTATTGTATTAAAAATCCCACTGTTCTCTATGCCATCCAAGCAATGGTTCTTTGCCGATCTGAACCGGGTAACAACGATTGTTTCGGGTCGACAAAACACACTGCTTTTCTGAGGTCTCAGTAAATAAGTGTTTTATTATACAGGGTGTATACTGCACATATTTGAAATTGCTTTCAGTTTCGCAAAACAGTTATTAGTATCCAGGTTTTTTATGTATATAGCTTCTTTGGGTACTTATATTAATGTAGAATAATGAAAAAAAATTCTCGAATTCAAATTTTGTGAACTGGCGGGGGGGAGGTGTCGTTTCCAAGAAATTAAAAATGGAATGCACACGTAATTTAAAATTTAAAAGCTTTAATCATATTTTGAGTTAATAGGTGGAAAATTTGTTGGGTTTTTAATTACTGTACAAAATTTCAGACAATTTGCTTTAACTATTCATTTTTCCTAAAAAAATCAGTCTTAATTTCGCATACTTAATGAATGCCTTTACTTAATTTGCATATTGCAATATTAATTTGCAAATTAGGGAAAGGCATTAATTAAGCATCCAAATAGCTGATTTTTAGAAAAAAATGCAAGTGTGCCTGAATATTTAAAGATCTTAAACTGAAGAAAATTGTCTGATATTTCGTGCAGCAATTAAACACCCAACACATGTTTCAACCATCAACTCAAAATGCGATTGAAGCTTTTAAATCTCGTGCGCAAGCCATTTTTAGTTTGTGGGAAAAGACACCCCCCCCCCCCCCCCCCCCTCCCTGGTTTACAAAACTTGAGTTCGAAATTTTTTTTTCATTATTCTACATCATAAGTACCTACAAAATGAATACAAAATATTTTTTCCTTAGATTTTTCTCGATGGTTACACAAAGCGAGAACTAATGTTGTTGAAGCTACATTGTTTAAATAATGAATGTGGTTGGTTTGGGGTGGCAAAAGATTTGCAGGTAAATAATTCTGCGACTGTAAATGACGTACTGTTTAGTAAACGAGCAGAAGTGTTAAATTAGGTTTAAAGACACGAGCGCGCAGCGCGATTGGCTTTAGACCTAATAAAACACGACCTGTGAGTTTATTAAACGGTTTCAAACACGACTACAAATTCAATAGATGTACTTCCTTATTAGTATTCTTTATATAAATAATACTAATGAGGAGACGGCAACAATAGATACTGCCTTATTAGTATTCTTTATATAAAGAATACTAATTAGGAGTGTTTTATCAGGTTTAAAGCCACTGCACGTGACATATTATGGTTGACATGATTTGCCAATTAGTAATGGACTTGTAC